CGAACCTTAAGGTCAGCGGTTTGAAACTACCAGTCACTCCGCGGGAGAAAGATGAGGCTTTCTACTCCCGTAAAGATTTACACCCTTGGAAACCCTGTATAGGGTCGCTATGGGTCGGACCCGACTCGATGGCACTTAACAACAACAACAATACACAAGGACCTCGCCAGATGGAACACACAGAAATCAAATCGACTACATCTGTGGAAAGAGATGATGGAAAAGCTCCGTATCATCAGTGAAAACAAGGCCAGGGGCAGACTGTGGAACAGACCATCAATTACTGATATGCAAATTCAAACTGAAAGCTGAAGAAAACGAAAACAAGTCCACGAGAGCTAAAATAACTGCAAGTCAAGGCTTGAAATTTTTCTTTAGTTCCCTCAGTTTGAGAAATGCTGAGCATGTTCTTCCCTTTTGGTTTTCCTACTCCAGGTCTTTGCACCTTTCATTATAATATTCGACTTTATCTTCTTGAGCTGCACCTTTGAAATGTTCTGTTCAGCTCTTGTACCTCCTCACTTCTTCCATTTGCTTTAGCATCTCTACGCTGGAGAGCAAGCTTCAGAGTCTCTTTCAAATTCCATTTTGGTCTTTTCCTTCTTTCTAGTCTTCTAGACCTTTTGCTCTCTTTTGTATGATATTCTTGATGTCATCCCATAACTCTTCTGGTCTTTGGTCTTTAGTGTCTAATGCCTTAAATCTCTTCTTCGGATGATCTCTCAATTCGGGTGGAATATGTTCAAGGTTTGACCCCTTGGTTCATTAAATATATCCTTTAAAATTAACATCACTTTGAAACTGAACAATGCTTGCAGGCCACACTCGATTTCTGCTGCTCTCCAGTTGCACAGGATTGTTACTGTTGTTGTTAAGTGCTGTTGAGTCGATTCTGCCTCATAGCGACCCTGTATAGGGTTTCCAAGGAGCAGCTGATGAGATTCCCTGGGCCACTAACCAAAAGGTTAGTGGTTCAAACACACCCAAAGAAACCTCAGAAGTAAGGCCTGGCGACCTCCTTCAGCACGACCAAGGCTGTGAAAACCAACACCACACACGGGGTCACAAGTCAGAAACAACCCAACAGTAACCAGCGTTTCAGCGCTGCAAGGTGTCCAGACTCAAAGGGATCTATTTTATAAACCGATGCAAATCCCGGGGACGGTGACTCCTGAGGCCACCAGAGCCCAGTGTCTACCTGAGACTGGACATTCAACAGCATGCACCCAATAGCAAGCAGCTCCCCAGAGCTGCGGCGACACCTGAGCAACATTTCTCCAGAAGTCCAGTTGTCCGGCTGGTTTCCACACTCGGGTCCAGAGAATGCTGTGCCTTGCTCGTGCAGTGCTGGCGGAAAGCAAGCCCAGGGTAGACCCCACCACTGTAGTGTTCACCATCAGGAGCAAGCCCCTAGCTCACGGTTCAGCAGAGCCTGCGCATCTTACCTGCCCATCCCCCACCCCACAGCCAAAAAGTCCTAGAGCCCGTTCTTGTCCACTGTGACCCAATGATTTGGGTACAAGATTCAGAAGGGGCACGTCTTTCACACACTGCCTCTCCACATGTCTCACGTGTGCAAGACTGCTCCACCTTCTGGAAAATCCCCAAATCCCCAATTCTGGCAAACAATCTTTCAGGCCCAAACGCCTCATTATTTCCGGCTTACGGTTTATGGGAAGCTGATGTGTCCGACCGCATTAGCTGGAGGGAGCTTACCTTTGGCTGACGTCTGTTCCACGGCATGGAGGATTTCTTGACCAGCACAGCCACGAAGAAGCCCCCAGTGTTCTGGTGGTGGGGCAGTATTCTAAGGCTGGAGGGAGGGGAACAAAGCTCTCTACAGCGAACCCACGTTGCAGTCTTCCAGTCTTGGGAAGCAAACAACAGACGCGGCAGGAGACAGAAGTGTCTCCACCCCAGTCTAAGTATGCCACACCCAGACTTCACCCAGGCACGCTGGGCCCTCAACAGCTGCAGCCTCCACATGTCAAATAATGCCCCACCTGAGACACAGGTACTGTACAAGTGCAGCCTTCCCACCGGAGAAGCCCCAACCGCCCCAGCTTACCACCGGTGCAGGTTCAGGGCCTGCAACTTCTCTGGGTCCTTTGGCGGGAACATGGTGGGACGGATCTGGGTGTGTTTGCTCTGCAGAACCTCGTCCCAATCAGCAAACCACTGTCCGTCCCTTGTCATGACCTGTGACACCGAAGTAGGGACCACAGGTCAGCTGTATGACCACCAGAGAAGCACAGGGCAGGCGGGGGCGTGTGCCCAGCTGACACGAGAACCCACCTCTTCAGAGAGACGGAGACTCTCCACGGACGGGGCGGGAGTATTCCCACCTGACACGAGAACCCACCTCTCCATAGAACTGGGAGATTATTAAGATGCAAAGAGAAAGCTGAGGCAATTTGTGACAAACCAAAATTCCCACGCTCTGCTACAGGCTGACAGCATCCGTTCATTCAAAAGCAGCAGCGCAACCACGCTATAAAAATGCACCTTCCACACTGGTTTTTTTCTTAAAACAAACCTCTCCTTCTTTCTCTCTGAAAACTGAAGAGTGGCTTGTCTCCTACCGAAAACTAAGCATAAATACCTGGCAGGGCGCAAAGAAAGCGCTCAACATCACTAAGAATATAAGGACAGGATCCAGCACTGGGCCACAAGGACACTTTGATCCATAAGGTCGGTGGTTCAAACGCACTAGCTGTGTCGCTACGAGTGAGAACTGACAGGCTGGCACTGAACAGCCACCAGCAGCACTTGTGGGAGCCGGGGACAGATGGGGCAGTTGACGCCGTGAAGCCCTACAGCTTCAGACACCCACGTGGGCAGCTCTACTGTGGCCTGTTGGGATCCTATGAGTGGGAACCGAGCCGACAAGGCGGGTTTGATTTTCTGGTTTATACTTGCAGGGAAGGAACAAATCAAGCCGGTTTCTAGATGCAGAATTGTAGCAGGAAAACGTTTCCATTTGCAGAAAGAAATATTACTAACGCACCCCCTCCCACCCCCGTCATCAGGACAACCACATGACCAAATATGCATTTACGCAAGCCGTCCCACGTGAACGCTTTGAAATTGTAACGAAGGGACATGAACTATGAAGATGTTTTTGGATCAAAACCCCCAGGGAGAGCCAGTCACCTTCCAGTGTGAGAGGCCAGGCATCCACTTCAATCCTGGCAGCTCAGAGGACACATCCGCCAGCTCCAGGGCACCTGGGAGCCAGAGAACAAAGCAAAGACCACAGTTAAAGGAAACTGCACTGTGTACGTGGTAACTGCACAGAGAGTCTAGCCACATGCAACGCCAGGGAACTCAGAAGAGAACAGTGAGTGGGCTGGCATGAGGGATCATGGTGGGAACGGACTAAAGCTGGATTCTGAACGTGTGTACAACTCAGTCAGTTTAATAAAAATCATTAATCCTTCCGAAAGGGGCCCAGGACCAGGCTTGGGACTCTGCGAAGGGGTGGCTGAAGCATCATCCATGCAGGACCCAGTGCCTGTCCACTGCCTTGTGGCCATGACTACAGGCTTCGACATCACACGTTTATTTCCAGCACCAGTGAGAAGATTTAAAATGATCTGTGTACCACTGTAAACATGGTTTAGGCCCAAGGAAGTTTTCTAGAATCCTCCCTCAGGATGCCACCAGTTCTACTTTCAAAGTCACGGAATAGAGGGCTGAGATGGGTTTCATGAGGAGCATCTCGTGGGAGGGGCTGTGGCTACCCACGGCCATGCCTACCTTCGCTCTTCTCCAGAAGGGACGCTATGACAGCTTCGTCCTCAACAGGGTTCAACGAGCAGGTCGAGTACACCATCCGCCCGCCTTCAGCCAGCTGCTCAGCACCCCTCGTTGCGATGCGCAGCTGCAGGCTGGGGAGCAGACAGGGCATACGCTTGGGGAACACGTCGCCCACAGACTTAGGATAAAACAGAGAAACCCCGAGGCAAAGGGAACAACTCCTACCAAGATCAAACCTTGTCGGGTTTCTAAGGCAAGGCATACAGGAAGGCCTGGCGGCGCACATGGTTACAGTCTCAACTACTAAGTGAAAGAAAGGTTGGTGGCTGGGACCCACTCAGCAACCTCACCAAGAAGGCACAGGGGATCTACTTCCGTAAAAAGGGTGCCCAAGAAACCCCACGGGACAGCCCCACTTGGCAGCCTGCTCGGTGGTAACTCAGAGAGGAAGCTTCCTGCTAATAACACTGTTGCTGACAGGTGTCGAGTCCTTCCAACTCAGAGCAGCCCCACGTAGAACAGAACGAAACACTGCCTGGTTCTAAGATCCTCACACCCACTGTGTGGTTGAGCCCGCTGCTGTGGCCACTGGGGTAGCAGTAATAACAGTTAACAGCAGCGTCTCATGTTTTGACTGTCCGGGATTTCATTAAACGGATCATGAAAAGAAAGGTCTTCACACCTATACAAGGATGTGATTTTTCTACGGACACTCATTTCTCTTTGTAGCGTGTATTCCTACCTGCTTCAGAAAATCGCACGTTTTACTAAGATAAGGATCGGACCCTTCCTGCTGGCGCTACTGATGATGCCAGCCCTCAATACACATCAGACTGCCCACAAGCTGCATTTAAAGATGGATAACCCAAAACACGAAGAAACCCACTGCCATCAAATGAATTTCCACTCACAGTGCCCCTGAACTGCTGATCTGTGGTTACCAATCCAGTGTCCGTCCTAGAGCGCCACGCTGCCGTAGCTGCTAAGAGCCACTGAGTATGTTCCACTCAGAGCGACGCTGTACCACCCACAGTGCAGTTCAAAGCCACCTTGTGGGTCGAGTGCTTATCCTATGTGGCCTCAGCAGGACTCCTACCCAAACCTCTTCCAGCAAGTTGATTCCATGTCACAGACCCTAAAGAAGAGTGGACCGGGTCCACAGACTTCTGTGGCACTAGATCTTTCCAGAAGCAGACTGTCTCATCTTTCTCCCACGGATGGGTAACGTTCACTGAGAAACGTGTGGAAAATCTCAGCTGTTCAAAACAGACGCCAAACTCCCCCTGCCCGGGACACAACCGGAAGGCCCAGGCCAGCAACAGTCAGTACTGGAGATGAGAGATTGTCTTTTATGTCTGGACTTTAATAAAGAACTAACCAAAGCATGGACTCCTGGTGTAGTACCGTAGGACCAGCACTGACTGTGAACCACAAGTCGGCAGTTCAAACCCACCAGCTTCTCCTCAGGAACCCTATACAGAGTCGCCTACAGCACTTAACCACCACCAAAACGTATTTCTAAGAAGACAGCAAAATGTTCAGCACAACGACACCTCAGTAAGGAGGACCCAGACTGGGGACAGAGCAGTCAGTAACAGGAGCCATCCTGGTGGGACCACGGCTCTGCACTTGGTTCCCCACACCGAGGCTGAACCACAGGAGAGAGACCTAGCGATGATGGGCTTATATAAAAGCCCAGCCTCTGGAAACCCTGAGGGGCAGCTCTCTGCCACACAGTGTCTCCAGGAGTCACAGAGAAACGGGTTGGAAATGTAGAAGAATGCCTTTACAGTTCATAAAAGGGGCTTTAAAAACAACTTGTGGTACGTGACAGGAGAGCACTCTTCCACGGTGGGGAGGAGCCTGGGGCGTGGTGCTCAGCTGTGCTCGACAATGAAGCCTCCTCCTTCACTAGGACTGCCGAGCACCAGACGCTCACTTACCCATGCAGCTGCAGGCTGTTTGACGTGGTCCACTTCTTCCAAACGTCAATGTTTTTCCTCATGGTGCCGTCTCCACTACAGAGAAGGAAGTTAGAGAGCTTAAACCTGGCATGTGACAAAACACAACAGGCACGTCGCATTCCACCCATCACGTGAAAAAACCACCTCAGTCCGGGACACGACAACCACTGGGCTTTGTAACGACACTTTCAATTTCATGTCCAGGTACACCATAGCTCTCAACAGGAATCCACGTGAACACTGGAAATACTAATGTACTTCAGGGGGCAAAAATACCACTGCACTAATGTGCACACCTGTGGGCCCGGGGCCTGCTGCTGGGAAGCTCGTCGGTCAACAGAAACACCTGAACCCGACGCACATGTTCAGTCCCAACACGTGATCTGCAGCAAGTTCCTCTAACACTGCCTTAGAGTCTTCGCCCAACTTCTCCAACGCATCTCAGCGACATGCATCTCGGCGACATGCATCTCAGAGACACGTTACAGCGCTTCTGTTTTCCGGGTCAAACCCTCCATCTCTCTGTCTCGGTGTGAGCCCTGTCATGATGTCGAAGTGCTCGCTGCAGAGCTGCACAGCCCCTGATGACGTGGCAACAAGGAGGGAACCGTCCCAGCAGAATCAAGGCCGACTTCCCGACGACCGACTGGCGTATACACCAACACCAATCCTATTGTCAGCAACTCCTTTACAACTCAGTGACCCAAGAGGACACGGTTTCTGAGGCTGTCATCTGATGGGTTCTGGTTGGCAGCTAACAGGGACCCTCTGGTCTGGGTGGTGGTGGCTGAAAATAATTCCAGCATTCTGAGGGATTCCTCAGTCTGTGACTGGCGTGCGGTCGCTTCACTCCCATTGTATAAGAATTACGTTATGATTCAGACCCAGATAAAAATCATAACATTACAATCAAGAAAAATAGAATTTCCTTTTATGACCTATTTTGATTTTGCTGTCAGAGGAAATCCTGCAGACTGTCTTAAAATTCAGTCACGTGTTTCTTACTCACACCAACTGCACGTTTCAAAGCAGGACCTGCCTCTAGCGGTTCATGGGCAACTTACCTACTAAGCAAAACAGGTAACAGCAAAAGTGATGAAAAAACAGAAATCAACGGCTTCAGAAGGGTCATGTAGTTTTCTGCTAAATGACCCCACCTAGCTGTGGCGCTGTGGGATAACGTGTCAGACAGCAAAGTTGTTTGAACTGCAAGGTTGGTAGTTCAGGCTCACCAGCTGCTCCTTGAAAACCCTATACAGGGTCGCTATGGGTCAGAATCGACCTGAGGGCAATTAACAACAAAGTCTAACTCCTGGCATGGAGCTGGAGAATCAGCACTGGACTGTAAGCCACAAGGTCAGTGGTTCAAACCCACCAGCTGCTCCTCAGAAACCCTACACAGCGTCGCTAAGACTCTGGACCAACTGAGTGGAACTTCAACACCACGTCTAGCTTTGGTCCCTGGGGAGGGACACACTGTCTGTGCTCGACCGTTCCCCTGAGGGCTGGCGGCTCGCACCCACCCGGCAGCACCGTGAATACCAGGCCTGGCAATATGTTTGTGTCAAGACGTCCACCAGGAAACCATACAGAACAGTTCTGCTCTGTCCCTTCAAGCAGCAGCAACAGCTTGCTGGGAAGACCTACTGGGACCAGGGAGCACTGCAGAACACAGGCTGTCCACACTCGTCAGAGTACAATGTGGGCCTCAGAGAGTTCCTGGGAAAAGCCCATGAACTCTAATCCCCTATTTCCACAGCGGGAAAGTTGGGCGTGTGTCACAATGGGCCACGATTCATTCTCCTGACCTCGGGCTGTTTCCCACACCCTCCGGGGATCCCCCTCACTGCACCCAGCCTCTGCCCTGTCCTCTGTCACCGTGTCTGTCTGGCAGTCTATACGCTCATGTCTTAGGGGGTCAGGCTCATGGGCTTCTCCACCACGCCCGCTCCTCTCACCAACACTACGCTACAGGACACATGTCCACCTGGATATGCCCCCCCGGTGTCCCTAGGGACTGGACACACACCTGCAGGGCACGTCGCAGAGGATACGGTCATAGAAGAGCACCTGCTTGCACCCACCCACGTCCATCTGCAGCCGGGGGATGCTGGATGCGTCGTGGTTGACCACCATGATACACGGACTGCTCAGCCTCTTGGCCTGATGGACGAGCAGGTAGCAGCGCTTGTTGTCCACGTCATTGGCAATGACAAATCCCTCTGCAAGGTGAAACTATAATGTCAGAGAGGCGACCGGTGGGGGCACTTGGTGGGATAAAGGGCTGCCAGGTCGCCTAGTGAGAGCAGTGAGCCGACACTAACACCCCAAGATTGAGGGGCTGCAAGTGCAGGAGCACCCCAACAAGGAGCTCAGTGGCACTTCAGGGGCACCTGCAATTCCACCACCTCCGAGACCCACTGGATTTAGTCATTCTGAATGCTCCATCATCCGAGCAGGGTTTCCACCCAGTTCTTCCTGGTTCCATCGTAAGTGACAAAGCGAACTGGGAAAGTAACAAGTTGGAGTCCCAAATCCCTGAGAAAACAAGGGCAGCATGCATGTGGTACAGCAGCCAAGACTTGTGACAGGCAGAGTCAGAAACAATAGTGCCCAGCTCACAGGTGGACTCTGCTGCCCTGACCGTGTGCACACAGCACTGTCTTGGCAACAACCAGTGTCCCATGCCAGGGCTTTAACCCGCCCCTCTCCTGTTTTTGGGTATCCTTGTGACAGATTTTTACAAATCTGGGCGGCACACATGGTCTGTTCCACTACCCAGAAGGTGGCTGGTAAAAGCCACCAGAGACACTGCTAAAGCAAGGCCTGGCAAGCTGCTTCCGGAAGGCCACAGCCATGAAACCGCTCCTGTGCAACACAGCTCTACCTACAGACACACAGCGCGGCACCGTGGCACTGCTTTGGTTTTATGTTCCATTGACTGTGCCCCAAAGCGTCTCGTCCATTACTAATACCTCTTAACCACGACAGCACAGCCGAGGGCAGACTCCTGGCTTTGGCAGCTGCTCTCCAGGGGCCTCTGAGCTGGGCCCTGGGAGAAGCACCACAAGGAAGGTGCTCAGTGGGTGCCCCTCTTCTCCTCACCCTTCAGTGCCTGTCACGACCGCCTCAAGTTACCGTCAGAGAGCAAGGTATGTGCGAGCTAATGGATCTGCAGTGAACGGCTTCACACTGCTACAGAGCAACCAGAGTTCCGCTTCTAGGTGTGGCTGGCACCTGTCTCTCCTTCCTACAGAATCAAAGCCTCCTGCCCCACTCACCAGCCCTGACAGGGAAGGAGGGCCCGTCAGCAAGGGTAGGGCAGTGAATTAGTTGCCATGACCCACCCAGTCACAGTCTTTGGCTAGAATAAATGGATCAACATCCAGTCATTTCAAGAAGCAGCACATGATCAAGAACCCATGGTCCTGAAGAATGCAGACGTCCCAGCTGCACGGAAAGCACTATCAGAAAACCAGGCTCCCGACTTGTAAAACTTACTGATGAAGACCAAGACTACATTCCTCAGTACAGACTGCACTTCCAGGTCAAGCAAAGAAAAAGCCATTCACTTGGACCAATAAGTAACTTCATGATAAAAGGAGAAAAGAACTGAAGTTGTCAACGACTTCATTTTGCTCAGATCAACCCTCAACACTCTCGGAAGCAGCAGTCAAGAAATCAAATGATGGATTGCATTGGGCAGATCTGCTACACAAGACCTCTTTAAAGAGTTCAAGAGCCAAGATGTCAGTTTGAGGACTAATGTGTGCCTGAAAAAGCCACAGCATTTTCAATAACCTCATGTCCATGTGAAAGTCAACAGAGAATGAAGAAGACTGTAGAAGAATCGAAGCATTTGAACTACAGTGTTGGAGAAGAATATTGAAAGTACCATGGACTGCTAAAAAACCAAACAGATGTGTGTTGGAAGAAGTACAGCCAGAGTGCTCCTTAGAAGCCAGGATGGCCAGACTTCATCTCTCATACTTCGGACCTATTATTAGGAGGGACCGGTCCCAGGAGAAGAACATCATGCTTGGCAAAGTAGGGGATCAGCAACAAAAACAGGAAAACCCTCAACAGGATGGATGGACACGGTGGCAGCAGCGGAGGCCTCAGATACAACAATTGTGAGGATGGTGTGTGAGCCGGCAGTGTTCTGCACTGTTATGCGTGGGGCACCGCCTCGCGGGCACCTAACAACTTCCATCAAGTCCAAGAAACTCCCAGGATACGGGTGTGACTATCCAAATCTGAGGGGCTTGTGGCCCACCCAGGGTACTGCATAGTTTGCAAAAAATATAAGTGGCACATCGCACCCTTGTGGGGATGGGACTTTGCTCTTATGGTGTATGGACTGTAATGGGGGCTTGATCAATCATTCTGTCATCCAGCCATTTCAGAGACAAAGAGGGGACGTCACGACTGAAAATAGAATTGCCCGGAGTGGAGCATGGCCTTGGAACCCAATCCATGCACAGAACCGCCAGGATTCAGGAGGCAGAGTCCGGAAACAGCAGAGTCGTGAGAGGCAGCCTCACACTCTCCACACACAGCGAGCAGATGGCCACTGCGGAGTGACCCAACCCTGCAGCCAGGAAAGCCACCCCCCAACCACAGGCCTGCAGAGATGACACAGACCAGACCACAGCCCACCTGGAAAAGGGGTGTCCATGTCCGCGTGCAGCATCTCAATGAGCTGAGTGGTCTTCGATCCAGGCGCTGCACACATATCCAGGATCTGTGGACGAAGCAGGGAGATGCTGGGTCTCTACTCAGAGGAAGCAGCATGCCACATGGATCAGAAAACCACCACACGCGTCTGACTCAGCCAGGATCTGGAGTGGCGGCCCCAGGTCTAAATGCATCTCTCAGCACACACAACCCTCGTGCTGGTTACTGGGCTGCGCTTTGCTGTGCTCACACACAGTACAGGGCCATATCATTGGCTGTTACAGACAGACAGACAGGGCCGTACCACTGGCTGTTACAGACAGACAGACAGACAGGGCTGTGCCGCTGACTGTTACAGATAGACAGGGCCGTACCCCTGGCTGTTACAGACAGACAGGGCCGTACCGATGGCTGTTACAGACAGACAGACAGGGCCGTACCGCTGGCTGTTACAGACAGAGCCGTACTGCTTGTTATAAACAGACAGAGGTTTGCTGCGGCCCTGCATCCAGGAAGTTTCTTGGCCCCGTTTTTTCAATAGCGTGGGTTCTGGTCACACATAAGGCTTCACACCTTTTCACCGTGTCCCGCACACCTCAGATGACAGCACAGTGCCACCAACACTCTATACGTACCAAGAAACCAAAAACCCTGCGTGACTCGCTTTAGCTCAATGTTCACCTTACTGTGGTGGTCTGCTCCAAGGTACGCCCCTCGGCGGAATCGACAGCATGGTCGAGATAGTGCTTAAAAGCAGTTGGGGTGTGAAACTCCCCTAAAATCACACTGACAGGGGTACGGTGTCTCTGAGAGCAGTTCTGGGCCCCAAGAGGGCAGTAAGCACAGAGAGGAACAAGTGGAGACATTCATCACAGGGACCACTCGGGGTCACACAGCAGCCCCCCCCCGGTTTCCCTACGCTCCTCTCGAGTGTATGGTGAGACGAGTCCGGTGGGGGGAGTGCTGTCACTGCAGCGTACGGCACGGTCTCGCATGCTCGGGCCTGGGATCTCAAACTGACCCAGCCCAGCCCTCACCACACACTCACACACACTGCAGTCAAGATTCACCAACACAAGACCTACTGCTGGCCCACAGCAGGCCCTCCCAGGGGCAGGCCTACTCTGTCCGGGGGCGCTGCTGTCTGACAGAATCCCCTCCAGGGCAGCAGCGTGCAGAGGAAACATAAGAAGAATCCTAGTAAGCTGGAGGTTTCACCAGCACACAACAAGCAGGCCCAGGGCTGCCATCACCCTGTCTGGGGCTGTACGCCGACGGCTCTTCACCACCCCCCACCCCATACCTTATGATGCGGTTGGACCTGAAGCAGCAGGGGTGGAATCATGCTAACAGCTTCCTGACGGCTGATGTTTCCCTTAGGAGAAAAGAAAGGATCCGCAATCATGTGAAAACCAGAGCACTACAATGTTGGTCATTACAGCAAAGGAAATGGAAAACGGGACCATAAACTCATATACAGGTGAAAACGAGCCATTTGTCTACACTGGCGGTTAGAATGGGTGCTATCTAGAGGCTGAGGGGCAGGGGAGGCAGGGGCTTCGACTCCTGGCCGCTGCACTTTGTGAGCGGCCACCACCCATCTGTGGCAGCGGGCAGCGTGTGGTGTGGTGTGATGCTGAGCGGGTTTCAGCGGGGCCGCTAAGCTAAGGAGGAAATCAAACAATGAAAGCGCTGTGGTCACCAGAGTCCTGTCTGCAGGACGGGCAGTGTGTCCCTCTGTTGTTCACAGGCCACGGTGAGTTGGGGACCCACCCTGACCGTCCAAATATCAGAACTCCTGGGGCAATAGAGACGGATCCCGACTCTCCAGGGGACACACAGGCACGAGCTCACCCTACCCAACACGTCCCAGTAATTAGAACTCTGAGAAGACAAATGCATCTAAAAGCCATCTACTCACAGATTCCGTCTCGCTGACCAGAAATTGGTGAAACTTCTCCAACTGTGGAGACTTCCGCAAGATTTTCCGACTTAAATTCGTGTGCCATGCCAATTCTTCAGGATACCTGGCCAAAGAGAGCAAAAGAAGTGTACACCACACCCATTTCAGTCAGCTACATGTGCCCACAGCGAGCCGTGTACCTCTTCCCATCCAGACAGCCTGTGGGGCAGCCCCTGGGGCACAGGAATCCCCAGCGGGGTTACATGAGACACGTGTGTGTGACTACAGGAGATCCATGATGCAAGGCTGTACCACAGTAGTAAGTGGGTAAGAGGGAGGTGGGCATGATGTTACATCACAAGTGCCATATGGTCACAACACAACACAACACAACAGCTGGCCACAAAGCCCCGATGACGGAGAGCTAAGAGTCCGAGGGTTCCTGTGCTAGTCACTCCACATTGAGGTCTGCAGACGCAGGAACCACGGACACGGCAGTGTAGCTAAGACACACAGAGCAGGTACCACAGCACGGGCCCAGCGGCAGGGCTGACCGAGCCATGGGATTTTCAGTCGCCTCTAACACAGGTGACAGCTGGACAGTGAATAAGGGTGACGGACAAACGGATGCATTTGAGTCATGGTGTTGGAGGAGAATACTCCAAGTACCATGGGCTGCCAGAACAACCAAGAGATCTGCGATGGAAGAAGTGCAGCCAGAGTGCTGCTTAGAAGCCAGAATGGTCACTCGTCTCTCATACTTCAGACATGTTCTCAAGAGGGCCCAGTCCCTGGAGAAGGACAGCCAGCTTGGTACAGTGGAGGGTCAGCAAAGGAGACCCCCCATGAGATAGACCGGCACAGTGGCGGCACCAATGAGCTGAAGCTTAACAGCACTGTGAGCAGGGCGCACGACCGGGCAGGGTCTGGTTCTGTTGGGCAGAGTTGCTGAGTCAGAACCGACCTGAAGACACCTAACACCACCACCAGCAAGTGGGATCCCGGCCCCTCTGAGGAGGGTACAGTCACTACAATCAGAAGCCCTGAAGGGGAGGATGCACGAGGCGTAGAGAGGACAGTGACGTGCTGGTGTCCTAAACAGCTATCAGACCCCCACCCCCCCACACACACACACACCCCCGGCCCTGAAGCCCCCAAGCTCTTGATATCCAACTGCCCAGAGTTTCTAAAAAACAATGTACTTAGCAGGCAGGAAACAGGCTTGTAAAATGTGCCCTTTGGACATTTGAATGAATATATATATATATATTCTGCTTTGTATGTGTCCGTCCAATATTTCTGCTTGTTCATCTGTGAAAACTCAGCTGTAAAACGGAAGCCACATACAGGGAGGAAGGGAGGGGAATCACTGGGATGGAGCCAAACTTATGATTGGTTGAAAGGAAAGCTGGTGATCTTGTCTGTTTACCTTCATTCAAATCACAGTATAAAGTTAAAAAAGAAAAAGAAAACCAACACCATGTATTTAGAAGCCAGGATGGCCAGAGTTTGTCCCTCATGCTTTGGACATGTTGTCAGAAGGGACCAGTCCCTGGAGAAGGGCATCGTGCTTGCTAACGTGGAGGGTCGTAAAAAACTAGAAGACCCCCAAAGGGATGAGCTGACACAGTGGCAGCAGCAACCGTGAGGTTGGCACAGGAAGGGCATAAGGTGGGTGAGTCAGCACCAACTGGACAGCACCTAACACCAACCTGTACTAGGCCGACCGTTACTCCTCCCGACCAGAAGGTGGCGCCTGTGTGCATCTGCTGAGGAAGGCCGGGCTGTGCCCACTGGCCAGCAGAGAGCAGGCCAGTTAATAACATTAATAATCACACCCAAGCATGGCACTCGTTAACTTAAGGCCAGTGAGCGCCCGCAGGACAGTGATGTGCACACGTGCCACACTGTACTCGATGTGAGAGCAACGAGAAGGCTATGGTCCCGCCCGTGTGGGAGACAGAACACAGCTGAGTGCTCTGCCACAGTGACTGATGTCTGACAGAGCAGACTCGGCCCCATCACACCTTCAGGCTGCTTAGGCCTGGAAACCCTTAGGAGCAGTCCTACTCTGTTCCACAAGGTGACTCGGAGTCAGAACTGACTCAATGGCAGGGTCTGATTTTTTAGTACATATGAGGGGACTTCCATTATCTGTCAATTCCACTATCTTTTGGGAGCTTTGAAAGTTCATGGGAAAATGGAATTGATCACGGAACTCTCCCGCATAACTTCTGAAGCCCCATGGATGTGATGAGTATTTCTGGAGTCCTGCTCCACTGTGCGGGGTACAGAATGCTGGTGTCTATGTCCCTCCTGGATGTGCAACCTGCCTTCAAAGCCACACTAACAGAAGCCAGACGGGCACATTCTCACTGGACACGAGACATGGCAGGAACTGAGCCTAGCTTTAGCTGTTTACGGTGCACCTGCCATCACACTGCGGTCCAGAGCAGATGGCTGTGCTCAGGGGCAGCGCAGTCACACAGGTACCACCACAGGCAGACGCTTTGGACGGGAGGGTGTGTCTCCACAGGCTTCCCCCACACGTTCCCCACAGCACCTACTCTGACCGCGGAGAGGCACTGGAACTCCGACTGCGGAAGCCATCAGACGTGGGGAAACATACATACTTACAACCCTTCGGATCACCAAGGACAGGCATGGACCCACGGCTAATACAAAGCGTGTTGCTTACAATAGTCTAGGGACAAGTTCATCTTTTTTGAGCCAACGTATTTTACGCGACACAGGATTATCTTAAAGAACTAGATTTAAAAAAGAGTCTTCTTAAAAAAAGGTCTAGTTTGAAAATTTGTCATGACTTCTGAGGATTAATCAAAAACACCACCAGGTCAACTTTGTAACTCAAAACTGTTAAGAAAACAAAGGGAAAAACCCAAATCTCTGAAACTCACAGTATCTGTGATAAATTACCACCTTTATTCCAAACCAAAAAGCACATACTCACCCAAACCCCGTGCTTTGGGACTGATTCCGACTCTCAGAAACCCTAGAAGACACAGCGAGCAGCTTCCGGGGGTTTCCCGAGACTGTGAATCTTTACACGAACAGACTGCCTCATCTTTCCCACGAGGAGCAGCTAGCTGGTGGGTCTCAACTGCCGACCTTCCGGTTAGCAGGCCAACGCTTAACCCAGATAATAAGAAAGCATGTTCCTAACAATGCCCTCTCTGGGCTCAGGTTTTAAGGGACTTTAGGGTGGCTCTGTACAATGCCGAGCATATGAGGAAAGCGGCCTCGCAGTATGTAGCACAACCCCTAGGAAATGTGCCTACAGTCAGAACACCGCTACCAGAGCCATTTCTGGATCTGGCAGGTCGACATTGGGAGAATGCAAATACAGCCACAAGTCCAGGTAAGTTTCTGCTCTACCTGCTTTCTGAGAGAGTAGATTTGTGAAGATCGATCACAGTGGACAAATTCAAATTTAACGGTACAAGTTTTGTAAGAAAAAGGGAGAGTAGTTAATCTTAAAGTCCAGAAACAGAGGACCCTAGGACCACCAAGGGAGAAGAGCACAAGTGGGATATGGGACCCCATCCAGACAAGTAGCGACATCAGAGATGGAGGCAGAGATGGGGACATGGAGAGAGGGAGCAGCTGAGGACTCTAGATTCATGGAAAGAGAAGGACTGAGAGGTGGCGGCCAGGAGGCAGGCTTGCAGAATGTACCCTTTGTTTGTTTAAATTATTATATATTTGAGTATTTTTGTGTACATCCCCACACCTACACCCCACAAAAATAGAGGGAATAGAAGCAAATAATGTTGAAAGATGATGCACGAAGGAGACTATAATCATTGCAATGAAACGCAACATGATAGGATGAGTGTAAAACCGATGTTCTCCCACATAAGCTATCGCTCAATTCACAAAAAAAACTTTAAAAAAAAAGAAAAAAACAATTCAAGTTTGAGGGGATCACTGCTTATGAAATAAAGCTGCCAAGCAACTGTCACTGAAAAGGAAAAGTCCATGAGGAGCACAAATCCAACAAGGTTGGGCTCCCACCCTTCGGGATGGTGTCTGGGAAATTACAGCAAGAAAAACAGGCAGGCAGTGACTGGTTGTCAGTACAGCAATTCAAGTTCATTCCTCAACTGAAGACAAGCTGCGCGACTTTCCAACAATTGGGGGCTGCCTTGTCAAGTACTCACAGGAAGCTCAGCCAACCAGAAGAAGCAGCTGAAGTCTGTGAGAAGAGCGGACCACACCGAAGCTGGAACTACACCATAACCCAGAGGCTCCAAGGCCAGAAGGGGCTCAAAACAGGGCGATGACTGCGAGCATGGTGCCCAGGGTCGCTGAGTCAGAACCCACTCAATTGCCTAGCAACAACAGTGACTGCAGATGGCAGAATCCAGTAGTGGGGCTCACTGACACCACCCAGAGGGTTCCCCACCATCACAGTGATGTGCTTGGTGAACAGCGCAAGTCTACTCCTAGGCTCCTGGCACAGGGGGGCAGGCAGGGAGCCAGATGGTCAGGCTTAAAGCTGACTTCTCAGCTCTTCCCCTCTGGACCCAAGCTGGACAGTGACGCTGGGAACATTCACAAGGACAGCTTCCAACCTCAGCTGCCTAGTGGGGACCGTGCCTACCCAGCACCCATAACCCCAAATACGTCTTCACACCAACTGTGAGCAGGAACACACTGCCCAGAGACTGTGCCAACCCAGAGTCAATGCCCCTAGCCACATCTTCATACTGTTCCCAGACAGATCAACACTGCTGCGGGCTGCCCAAGGTCACGCTGGCAGCTGCCCTTCAACTGGCCTCGTTCACAGACTTGCAAAGCCACAGGTCATGCCAGGGCCACGCTGGTGACACTGCACAGAAATGAGCCATGTGGTAAGACTGCAGGTGCACTCTCAAACCTCAGGGACACAACCTGACAAGCCCTCTGTCTGTCCTGTGCCCCGCCCCAAGAGGACACTGACAGGCCCCTCTTGCTGGCCTGCATTCTCTGAAGCCAACATCACGGGTCCTCCCTGGCACCAATGAAGTCCCCCCACTGACCGGCCCTCAACACCAGAGCTAGACCAGCCACACACAGAAAAGGACCAAAGCTTCTAGTCTGACCAAGATCTCAGGCACCAAGGGAAAGCCGGCAGGAATGCAAGACACCCACGCTTTTGACTTGCTGGCTACAAATTCATGGATTCAGCAATTTCTCAGCTATGGTGTTGGAAGACACTCAAAATACTGCTGGGGAAGAGCTGTCTCCATCCTCAACGACGTGCTGGTGGGGCACAACTCAAAATGAGGAGAACCAGCTGTACACATCCATTCATAATCAGAACACAAAACGTCCAAAGGATGAATCTCAGAAAAGTGAAAGTTGCCAAAAACGGAATGAAATGCATGAAGATCAATACCCTAGACAGTGAGCTGAAATGACTGGAATCAGCCATTTTCAACTGGACAATGACTCTGCTGGGGACAACAACTTGAAGAGAAACAGTGTCTCATTCATCATCGTGATCAGATAAAAAGCCCTTTCAAGGCCAATCTTGAATTAATTGGATGTACAATGCTTTCTGTAGTGGTAACTTACAGGTTGGGGTTTGGACCTCTGAGCCACCCCATGGCAGAATGAGGTGGTGGCCTGTTTCCATAAAGCTGACACCCTTAGTACCCTATGGGGTAGCCCTGCCCAACAGGGTCACTGAGTCAGAATCAACTCAGCGGTAGTGGGTTTGCTTTGGGAGTTGGACTCATCCAATCGGATGGCCCACAATAACTGCAGAGAACACAAACTCCCATCACGGTGGAAACTCCGGGCCTTGGAGGGCATCTCTCCAGACCTGAGGACAATGGTCAGTTTCTTTTGGTAAAGTTCATTGTAAACCCCAGCCCTGAGGAGGAGAAGCTGTTGTGGTCACCAGGTCTGTCTGCCAAGGCACCCTGGTGTGGCGCGAAACCAAGTTTCCGGCTAATACAGCAGGGTTTAGGACTTGACGCTGCCCGGCGCCTCCTCGGTGCCCTCTGAAGACTGCCTCAAAAAGTACAACACTGTGCACCTGAATATTCAGAGCCTTAAAATCGCTGACAATGGCTGTTGAATTCGGCCATTTACAGCAACTGTTAAAAATAGTTTTTTTTTTCCTCTTGTGGGACCTTCGATGTCTTAGTCAGTAATGAGATGCATGAGACGATGACAGGTGGGTTAATAATTTGGTGGTAAAAAACATGAAGCACTAGGCTGCTAACTAAAAGTTTAGGAGTTCAGGTCCAGCTGGAGGTACCTCAGGGAAACAGAGGCCTAAGGGGCTTACGGTGACCAACCAGCCACAGAAAACTCAACTGAACACAGTCTTCTCTGTCACTGATGGGGTCGCCATGAGCTGGAGGCAACTCAAGGGTAACTGGGGTTTGAAGTTTCTGGAATGACCCAGGGATCTGGGACTCTAGTCTGTCCCTAGACAAGATGATGGTCTTAGCTCGCTGAGAACTGATGGGGAAGAGACAAGCAGGTGATGGGCAGCCAGTAGATGGCGTGCCTGAGAGTGCAGATGGTACAGGGGAAATGCTGGAGCAAGCGGAGAGATGGCAGTTGAGTCTGAGTCTGGGTCTGGTTACGAGGTGTCCGTTTCCTGAAGGTAGACAAGCCACTTTGCCACAGTTCTGACAGACATGAGCAAACAAGGGCTTTCAGACGTGATAACGCCAAGGAAGGATAGGGGCTGGGTTTCTGGAGAACAATCAATTTCAACAAAAAGGGTTGCAAATCCCATAACAAAACTATGACAACCAACCTTGTGTTGGGGATAAACCTGAGGCTGTTCGGACAGGATGAATACTCAGGCCAATTCTTCTGTGTGGGCAGTGACAGCAGAATCATGAAACTCAGAGGTGGGCAAGGCACCAAGGCACCAAGGCTAGCAAGCACTAATTTACCTACCAGCTCAGGGGCTGTGGGACTTCAACCTTCTGCCCATCTACCTCCAGGTTCTCCAGCTCTTTGAAGTACTTGGTCTTTAAGCAGTGGAGAATCTCTTTTGCATGACTATTAAAAAAAAAACAAGCAATTGTCAGACAGGTCTGAAAAATCAGCATAATACAAGGTCTCTTTTTTTAAAGAAATGCTTTAAGCATTTTTATAACGTAAACCAAGCTAGCAGTCCAGAGTTTGGCTTTCTACTGCTTCCCTCTAAGATGAAAATATGTAGGAGCTTTGAGAAGTTTGTGGAAAAAACAGAAAAGATATTAGACTTTTCCCAAGGACTTTTTTGAAGGCCCCTAGTTTTTCCTCACTCATTACTAAATGCCATAAATATCATGTGGGTCCCAAGTAAAAACACAGGAAAGGGAGGAGGAAAACTGTGGTTCCAGCTGTCACAGGTTTCATTGTACCTACCACGTCATGTCACTTGCAAATCACTTCTTTTTAGTGAGGAAACGCAGAAGTTTGAATAGAAATTGCTGTTGTTGGCGACCTCTAGTGAATTCTGATTCATGCCAACCCCAGGTGACAAAGTGGAGTGCCCATGGGGTTTTCTAGGTTGCATGAGTCCTGGTGTGACACTGGATTGCTAACCACAAGGTTGGGGGTTCAAAGCCACCTGCCAACCCTCATAAACCAACCTAGCATTCTGTAGTCTGTCTTTCTACTAGATGGCACTTAACCACAACCACCACGACCTCCGCCTTTATGGAAGTATCCCACCCAGCCTTTCTCCCAGGACCCGAGCTGGGTAGGTTAGAACTGCCAACCTTCCGGTTAGCAGACAAGAGCTTCACGGCTAATTCCCATATGGTCTCAGGGCCAGGAAATCCCAGGTTGGGCTTCCAGCATGCGCTCAAAGCTCAGTTATTCTCAGTTCCCACGAGAGCGCCCCCGGTGGGGTTCCCAGTCAGTGCACCGTGTGGGCGGTCACCACCCGCGTGTTAGTGGATGCAGCTGTCAGCGGAGCTTCCAGACTGAGAAAGACTAGGAAGAAAGGCTTGGAGACACACTTCGGAAGGGGCGGCCACGAGAGGCACACAAACGTCCAATCACCCGTGAACGTGGAACTCGTACAGGGCTGGGCAGTGTTAGCTCTCGGATCGAATCCGGGCGCACTTAGCAAGACCCCCACCTTTTGTAGCCGGTGATCCTCAGGGTGGCCGGGAGGGGCTCCCGCAACGCCCCCATAAACTGCTCCCACTCGCCCTCGGGCACGATTTTGAGCTCCTGGTAGTAGCGTTCGAACAGCTTGTTCTCCTTCACGATCTCGGGGTAGCCGCCTTCCCAGCCCTGAGGAAAGACAGTCACGTCACTCCCAGACCAGAGGTCCAGCCCGCCATCCCCCAGGCTCCCGCGCCACCCGCCGGAGCCTACCGCGGCGCTGCGCTTCCGGCCACTACCGGTCGCGTCTTCCCCGCCTTCGGGCCGCTGCTGCTGCTGCAGCCTCCGGCCCCGCGCCCGCCGTCCCATAGCGGTCCACGCCGCCCGCAGCGCCCGCGCCACGCCGAGCCCACACTGCACGCTACGCCCAGCCCGAGTTCCAGCCCGCGCCACGCCGAGTCCACGCCAAGACCGCGCCGCCGACTTCCGGGACGGCCGAGGACCCGCGCGACAGGCCCGGGTTTATCCACAGCCTGCCGGGACCGAAGGACACCGGCTAATCGCGCTGCGACCCGGATTCCCGGGACACGCTCAGCCCAGGGGGGCGGAGGTAAGCTGTGCATCAAGCAGTCCCGAAAACTGTCTGCGCGCGAAATGGAGTGGTTTCACTCGTTGGCTCAGGCAGCGCTGCGGACAGCCTGGTTAAGACGCCTGCGCATAGCTGCGAGGGGGGGCAGAGCTTCGGTGATTTGAGCGATAGGCCCTGCCCCCATTGCCGAAGCACCGCCCTCCACTCTGAGGTACCGCCCCCGAGTCCGCGCTTGTCTGGGAGCTCAAAAGCCCCGCTACTATCCGAAGCACTGCCCACGACCTCACGGACCGCCCACTGTCATATAGGCTCCGCCCCCAACCGATGAACCGCCCCTGAGATCTCTTTTTTTTTTTTAATGTTTTATTGTGAATTATGTGATAGTTTACATGGGAGAACATTAGTTTTACATTCATCCTATCATATATCGTTTTATTGGCATGGTTACAATCCCCTCCATGCATCATCACCCAACCAAAGGGCATACACTACAAGCCTGCCCCGAGCCCCCATCGTAAGCACACAGCTCCTCTCCCTCTCTATAGTCCCCAGCTGCACCATCTCTCCACATCATCGTCACTGCCTCCATCTCAGGCATCACTGCTTCTCCCTTGATGGTCCTAGGCTGAAAAGTTAATCACTCCTCACAGTTCTCTTGCTACCCCGACCGGGTCCCTTCATCCCTTCTCTTGCTCCTGAGGCCCCGCCTCTGAATCCCGAGACCCCGCCCACAGCCCCTGTCAGTCTGGCCCAGTACCTTGCCCAACTGGCGGCACCGACCGTGGGGGCGGAGCTGAGAGGCGTGGTCCGCCCCCCGCGCCGGGGAGGGCCCGCCCCACTGCACGTGGCCGGCGCCCGCGGGGACCGCGCCTCCTCCCAGCCACCTATATGAACGGTCGTGCGGCATGACCCGCGTCCCCAAGCCATGGAGCACAGCGAGCTGCGGCTGCTGGACACGCTGGCGGCCCTACTGGGCGCTCTCGCCTGCTTCTTTTTCCTGGTGCTGCAGCGCTTCGGCACGACGTATGGCCGCTACTGGTCGCCGCGCTTAGGCTGGTGGCTGCCGGCTCGGCCCGCCTGGGCGCTGCAGGAATTACCCTCGCTGGCTCTGCCGCTGCTGGAGTGTACCCGCGCCGGGGGCCGCCTGCACCACCTGCCCAACGCCCTGCTGCTGGCCATGTTCCTCGTCCACTACGCGCACCGGTAACGGCCGCCCGTGCCCCGGTCCCCGCCCCTGAGATCCGGCTCAGTGCCGCACACCCTTCACCCTGAGACTGGGTCCCGAAAACAGGTTCCCGAAACCCAGCCCCAGTCCTAGAGATCCGGTCCACCCCGATCCTCTCCTCGCGCCCTGGCCCCGAGCCTCTGTCCCTGCCCCAAGACCCCGCCAACCTGATCTCCGCGCCCCTGCACCTGAGGTTGCGCCCGCCGATGCGCAACTGGCCCCGCACCCCGACTCTATGGACCCGGCGATCCCACACCACGGCTCCGCACCCCTGTGTCTGGCACCCACACCGAACACTTCACCCACTGACCCCCACCAATTCCAAACCCATCCCTGCGCCGCGATTCGCGCTCCTGTTCCCAGCCTCCCCTCTCTTCCTGGGAGTCCTCTGGCACCTTCTTCACAGCCCCTCGTCCTCTCCCTCCCTAGGTGCCCCGGCTCTCTCCACACTGGTCCTCGGTTCCCCAGCCCCAAAGCTGCCGCCTCCCATCCCTGAGCCCGTGGTCTCCCCACTCACCAGCGAGTCCCCTACCCCCCTGTCCTCTCTGAGCCTGTGTGTCCCACTCCTGCTTTTCCTCCCCACCTCCCCCCATGTAGCCTCTGGTGCAGGGGATGGGGTAGAAAAAAGAAGTCGGAATTCAGAGAGTTAGAAAGGACGGTGATGGCTGCCTAGTGTGCCTTCCATGCATAGCCGCCCACCCGAGACATCAGAACTGTCCCCCAGAGGCTTTCCAGGGCTGCAAGCAGAACGCCAGACCTTTCCTCCTACGGAACGGGGTTGGAACCACACTTAGTATAGCAGCCCAGCACTTAACCATTGAGCCACCAGGGATCCTCGAGAAAGAACCAAAATATAATAGTAAAAGAAAAAAGGTCTTGTTTTATTGTTGTTTTTGTAAATCCAAATTGTTACCCTTATAACCCTCCTAGACCTTGTTCTGTGGGACCAAGGCTGAGTTTTCCTAGGGTTTTAAAGCTCACAGCTGTGTCCCAGAAGGCTTCATTCAGATGAATGACCCTCAGCACTTATAGTTTTGCTGTGGGCGAAGTTGTTTTATCTTAACCTGGGCATCCTGTTGTGACTTGAAAACTTGGTTTGGAAACTGGGTAGCTAATTTGCTAATTCACTTTGGACTTTCATCACACATTAGGCATGGATGTGCCAATTTCGTGTGTGCACAGGATGGTTTGGGGAGGCAGCTTAAAACACTGATGTAAGTTCAACAGGTGACGTCTACATGTGTCTGTGTTTCCAGGAAGGTTTTGGAACATGGCTGTGTCTGAGGTGTTAGGTCTTCAACTAAGGGGGTGGCTAGAGAAGAGGGGGACCTCTCATTCCTTCCTGGGACCCCTGGCCCCACCCTCTGCTCTTGCACAGAAAAAAAACAATATGGCATGGGAACAAATTTTACCATCAAAACTGCAAGCCTGTCATTCAGACTCTACAGAGTTGGCTAGTGGGCGAGAAAATTCTGTGTTTCCTGGAAGTTGGGTGGGTTGCTTAACCTCTCTGGATGTGGGTGGTACCTTGTAATAGGAAGACTATGTGTGTGAGTGTGTGTGTAGGTGTGTAGTCTGACAGTCCAATGGGGAGAAGGCTCCGCAAGGCCAGGTTTTGTGTTCCCCCTCCCTGAGCAGTGCATGGGACCGGGTGTGAGTACTCAGCTGGCTCAGCCTGCTTCTCCCCACCACATACACACCTATGCGTGAATTACTTACTCCGTGTGCTTTTTACACGGGACAAACTCAGCAAACGCACCTAACTCAGCCTCAGCTGGAGAAGCATATACCTTTAGCCTCTCCGTATGCCAAAGCCTCTGTCTGTCTGTCTGTCCCTCTAGTAGGCTGAAAAAAGCAAGCTCTGGAACCACTGTCAGATGCTATCCCAGCCCCAACCTGGGACCTCACTGGAGTTCCTAAGTCGCCCTGCCCCACGCTTTCCATAGAGGAAAACTGGCAGAGAGCTGGCACTGCCTTGCATAAATGTAACGCCCCCACAAGATGTTCGAAAGCCAGATAACTGACTTTTGAAGGGGGTGTGTCTGCGTCCACTCACTGTGTGCCTTGTGCGCACACCTGCCTGGCGTGCCTGTAAGCACTTCTAGAGACACGGGCTGCTGGGAACCTAGGGCCACTCTTCAGAGTTTTGTTTCAAACCCTTGAGCACACACTTTTCAACCTAAGACATTCAGGCGAATGATCTTTCAATTTAGCTGCTCAGGGCTCCTGTTCAGGGGCACTCCTAGGGCCCTGGTGGGGGATGTAGGGGTAGGTGGGGGGATGGGGAGGTAGACAAGAACCAGTGAGCCTAGAGCCATAAATCAAAACCAACCCAATGGCCATGGAGGCCTGGAAACAGTTTTCTTAGAAGTTTCAGAGTCAGGCCTTGTTTATTAAGCTGCTGGATTCTGAATGTTAGATTTAGAAGTTGTGGTGTGGGGATCTTTGTGACAGGGGAGGTGTAGGGGGTGTGGCCATGCCAGGTGACACTGTCAGAGGGGTGACTGTGGATGACATTTTTGTGGGGAGCGACTGCAGCTCGGAGGTGTGAGACCCATTCTGTGTGATCTGTGGCCAGAGGCTCCAGCCCCGGGTGCCCTGCTCTGAGCCTGTCAAGCAGGAAAGACACATTTTCCGTTCTACCCAAGCAACTAATTTATTAAACGGTCATCCGACCTAAGTCAGCAAGCGAGCCGTCTGCAGCCAAGAGAGTGGCCAGTGCTTTTGTGTGGGCCAGCAGAGACTCCTGCCAGCTGTGCTGGAAACGAGCTAGGTACCAGGTGTCCCCAGAGGCCTTGCTGGACTTTGGGGCCTTTGGAGGAGTTCCTAGCAGTGTGGGGACAATGAAGATAGGACAGTCCACTGGAGGCGGGGTGCCAGAAGTAGTGGGTTTGCTCCCTACAGTGGGAAAGGGTGTGTTTCTGACTTCACTCAGCAAACAGGCCGGACACATGCCGAACTGGTTATGGAGAACTGAGAGAAGACAGTTGTGTACAGAAACCGTCCCTGAAGAGCTGGCTAGTGGGTCAGACCTGGCAGGGACGGGGCCTTTCAGGGAGAGACTGAGTCCTCTCTAGCTGCATGCCCCCCACAAACAGTGGAGAAGGTGCGGGTGCGGTACGGGGCTGGTTACACCTTCTCCATTCCTGACTGGACCCACTGCTGCCTATCCACTGCCCTCATGGGACCCAAGGCCCAGGAACTCATTTCTCTCTTTTCCAAGCCTTCTCCCACCGCCCTGCTGGACACCTGGACATCCAGAGCTGGCATTGGTTACCATGGCAAGCCCTGTAGATAGCCTCCTCACTGTATCGCTCGCTGACACACACACACACAACTAAACTGTGGTCTGGAGTTGGCACCGGCTTGTGGCAGGTCTCACGTTTGACAGAACGCCCCATAGAGTTTTCTAGGTTGTCAGAAGGTTATAAGCAGAGAGACAGGCATTTCAGCCTTGGTGCTGCCAGGTGGATTGGAACTGCCAACTTTTTGGTTAGCTTAAATGCAAACCAGATGCACCACCTCCCTGGGACCCTTTGGCCTCTGTGACCACCTGTTCCATCTCTCCATGTAGTCCATTCCTTCTGAGGACCCTGCCCCCCATGTGTGTTCTCAGCTAGCTTTCAAGGGGATCCTTGGAGCCCTAACCTTCCCCCTAGCCTTGCATTCCACCTCCTCCTTCCAGGCCGGTAAGGCTGTAATGTGACCTGAATCCCAGTTCTCAGCTGGGTTAGTTCACTCCGGACTGCTCTCCTGTCCGCCCTGCCTTACTTCCCCACACCTGTGCAGCCCACACTCAACCCTCCCAGTCACCCGCCCTGGGGACTGCCCTCTAGACTTCTCATCCATCTCTGATCCATCCCCATGGCCCCATCTTAAGGGCGTCTGCCCCTCACCACCTCCAGGCTGCTGTGATCCAGGAAAACTAGCCCAGGACGACCAGGCACAGGGGGGTCTGTCTGTGCATCTCAGGAACGAACTGAACTTGTTCCCAGAGATACACAATGTGAGAAATCGGAATTTTCACTGCGACTCTGAGTTTACCTTAAAACAAAAATGTGCGGACCTTAAGGTATGGCCGGCCAGGCAACCGAGGGAAAGAGAAGCCAGAGGAGCTAATCCTTTTCCCTAGCAGAGCTGGAAAGTGCTCAGGGGGACCAGCGATCAGAAAAAGGTCACCAAGGCATCAAAATCAACAGTCGTTCTCCGTTTAAACATTTTTAAATGAGCAATTGCATGATGCCCTCTTCTCTGTGCCCCCCCATCCCATAATGCCCTCTTTTCCACCAATGAAGTGGATTCTGACTCTTAGCAGGACAGTCACGTCTTTCACAAGACCCAGTGATGGGTTTGAACTGTCAGTCTTACAGTTAGTAGTCCAGCGCAGCTCCTTGTCGTTGGTAAGTACCATGGAGGCAGTTCTGACTTATAGTGACCCTGAATAGGGTTCCAAGGAGCTGCTAGTGGGTTTGAACTGACCTTGAGGTGTCTAGTGCTACACCAGGACTCCAGTGCGTACCTTAATCCATCCCAAACCACTGCTGGTGGGTACATTCTGATTCACAGCCCCCCTAAAGGACAGAGTGGAATTGTTCCATGGGGTTAGGGATTTTTTTCTTTTGGAAACAGACTGCCTCATCTTTCTCAGAGTGGCCAGTGGGTTTGAACTGCTGACCTTGCATTTAGCAGCCCAATACTTATCCCATAGTGCCAAGCCAGGTATTTTATTGTTCCCAAACTTGGGGGCACAACATTGGAATTCCTGCGGGAGGCATTTGTTTGTAAGAGTTGTCTAAAAGCAAGTTGGCATTTCTGTTAAAGTTAAAGCAGAGGGTTTTATTCAAGGAACTCTCAGACTGCATTTTGTGAGGACCCACCAGAGTACTCTACTGAGAGGAAATTTCCCCCCAAGTGTAAGGACGGAAAATCCAGCAGTTACAGGGGAAAAGTTCCGATTGGCTGAAATGTATAGGACACA